AATACTACCCTAAGTTGTTAACACAACCATATTATTTTGTAGCCATGTTAACAATTCATTAAATTTGTTTGCTTTTTGTGTGTATTTATTTATGATTCAAGGGGGGTTTAAGTTCCGGTCAACAAACACTTATGTTTCCGTGTCCGCTCTGTATCCGGTCCGTGTCCGTTTTCGGTAATATCTGTTTTCATATCATTTCGGGGTTTTTGTATTTGTTTCCGCTTCTGCAAGAAAATATGAAAACAAATGTGGTAGCACCCAGTTTCGTCTGTTTTCGCTCCGTTTTCATCCCTAATTATGGGACGGAGGGAGTAAGTGATTCGGACTATGGCTAGCCATGGTGGGGGTAACATAAGTAGTATCATGCACTTGGGACTCGCAAACATGCTTATGTGGCAGACAATTAAAGAAGAGAGAGATGATTGTAGTAACATAGGTAGATACCGTACATAATAAATGTGATGGTACTATGTGTCATGCATAGCAATAAATAAGACTATCTATAATAGTACTAATCTATGATACTATGTACTACGAATGTAGTATGATACTCCCCACTATGACCAACTTAAAACAGGTTACTTATTTCCAAACCGAGGAAACTCTGAAATCCACGCTCTCCTAGCTTGCAGGGCGGCAGGGCTAGGGCCGCATGCACCCCACAGACCTCTCTCCGGTAGGTGCCCTGCATGTTACGTCGTTCTATACTCCCACTAGTGCCAGCCGCCGCCTGGCGCTTTCTTTCTTGTGAGGTAACATGAGAGGGTGTGACACCGGCGGCTGAGAGTGAGGAACTCGCTATAAAAAGAAAAGCTCGCCCGTTTCGTACGGTCAGACCACGAACGGACGCAAGACAGCGATCGACACTGGCCAGTGATTCGGCGAAGCCTGTGGTGGCAGGGAGGTCAAAGGCGGCGATGACAGTGGGAATATACCGCTCACGGTGGATCCACAGCGCCCCTCCGGTTGCTGTCAAAGGCCCGGTCCCGGAATCCAGCTTGCCATCAGCTAGCCTGGAGAAAGATATACTACTAGCTAGTACTACTTCTTGCCGGTAGATCTAGCCGGGAGGATCCCGTGCAGCAAAGTGTCCGAGAGATTCTCACGGGAGCGCAGCTACACGGAGCTCGACTAGATTGGCTTCTTTCGGAAGGTTAGCGTAGTTAATGTCTGCAGGTACCATCTGCATGAGAGAAAAGGGTAGTACTACCACATGCATGAGAGAATATAGCATGGCTTCTTTTGTTGACAGCCATGCATGAGAGAATCATGGCTTCTCTATGTTGATCGCACGGGCGGAGCAGCTTTATGCCTTCTTGATGTCGATTCTTGGAGTTTTTTTCTATGTATTTGACAATTCTTTCTTTCATTTTGAATACAAAACCATGCACAAAAGTGGCATGCATGTGATTAAGAATGAGTACAGCGCTGAAGACGGCACGACCCTTATTACATCATCATCACCATAAAATGACGCTACCCAAGCAAATCACCACCCTTATATTGTCCAAGACGCGCGACCGAAAACAACACGACAACCCAAGACAACCTAGACTAGAGCAAAAGAATTGCGCAAGGCATGAGAAACGAGAAACATCTACTGCGAGAGCCTGAACAATAGCCACTTAGCCAGCCACCAGCCCAAACACCACGACGACGACGAGGACGAAGACTACAACGACGACAGTGACAACTGGAGCTCAAGCATCACCGGGACAAAACCACCAACGGCATAGTGCCAACATCACTTGCACGAGCATAGACACGGCGTCACCGAGCCACAAGGCCACACCGCCGCTAGACCACCCATCGCCCGCGCCATAGAAGGAAGGCAAGGAGGTGGACAACATAAATCAGAGGGGAGCAGGAGGGCGCTCACGAGCATCGAGGGTAAAGTCAACCACGACCGACTACCAGGGGTCCCCACGAGGCTAAGAAGAAAACACCAAAGGAAGGAACGGAGGCCCTCGCTCACACGAAACACGACCACAAATCGATCATTCGTTTCTTTAGCCTGCATGGGGCCTCTTTGGCGTGCACGAACTCGGCCCAAATACCCCTCCTAGCCTGCACGAGGAGAGAACGCCCCAAGCAGTTGTTCGCTCCTCAACATGCTTCGCTTGAAGGATCCTCAGGACCCAAGGAGGCCTGCTAGGGTTATCTTTCCTCCCAATTTATCCTCTCGCTCCCAAGCTCCCTACCAGCCACGAGAGACACCCAGCCGCACGCCGCCTCCTTCCCTTCTCCTCGGTGGTAGCCTACTCCGGCGACCCCTCAGGCAACTAACCCGCTTCCTACTAAACAATGTCTCAGCTCAGCATGTTTCAGCACATACATCACTACCCAAACAACAACAGATGCATGTACTTAACATGTCTACACTCAGCATGTCTTACAATGTTACCAAACACACCCTTATGTTGTCGAGACAATAACACAGTAGCACTCAACATGTCTTAGGGAGAGGGGGAGGGGCAACCACGCTAGGATGGGAATGTTGCCAAACACACCCTTATATTGTCGAGACAATAACACAGTAGCACTCTGCACAAGAGAAGGCAATGCACAAACTTTATTCCAGTGAAGAGGAAATACACGTCACACGTTTTTCGTCGCTTTCTAAAACTATATACACATCACGCATGAAATGGAATACAATGAACGAGGAATAGAAATCAAGAGAACAGTTCATTCATATAATCAAGAGCTCTGTACCCATCCAGCAGCATGCTGCGCTTAGTTTCGCTCAACGGCGATCGTTCCCTGCAGCGTGCAGCTTGTTGCCGATCCCCGGGCTGTGCCCAGGCGACGTTCCACGACTGTCGGTGGTCGCCATCTTCCAGGTCGCCGCCGCGGTACCACTAGCAGTACCTTGCACGGCGCGGCACCCAGCTGATGCGCATGCCTCATCGCCGTCGATCTTTGCCGACGCCGCCATCAGCCTCCTCGCCTCGCACGGGCACGACGCCAGGTGGCTCGACACGACCAAGATTATCAGAATGCAGGTGCACGACGAGACATGCTTGGAACCTGCCATGTAACTGAAGAACCAACAAGTAATTAAGTTGGTCTAAGACTCTCCTGGGGCTCAGGGTTTGAGGCAGTGCACACTGGTATGCTGCTACTCCTCTTGCTTGGGCTTATTAATTAGCTTGATTTGAGAGGTTTGCATCAAGCGTCAATTTATAGGCGGGGAAGTGCTGTGGCACTGCAATGTATTTTTTCAAAAAAGAACGAGACCGGCCAGGACACTAGACCATGGCGGCATATTTTTGTAGTAGAAGATGCAACCTGAGCAACCGCTGGATCCGAGACTCCAACCTGGGTGGGCAGCGTGCGCACCCGCACAGCTTACCAACAGAGCGGCGCTCTGTTCTCATATGGCGTGCAATATTTTAAATGATGACAAGACTAGCGTATACTAGATCCGAGGGGTATACAAAGTAGAAAGGTAGCCAGCCCAGCTCCGTGCAATGTGAAGGCTCCTCAAAACTCAGAAGGCCACATGAAGAAGCAACCATGAAGTACACCATTGCCATGGTGCACCAAACACTATGCATGTCATTTTCGGCAGAGTCCAAAATTTTCACATGCCTCTGCCGCAGTCATCAAGAAACTAAATGTTCATCTTCTAAACGTGCACATTCGATTATGGGAGATTAGTGCTTCAGAAAAAAGAAGAGTATTGCATGGACAGATGCAGAGCATGCAGTCTGTTAAACTCAAATTGCTCTTCGATTCTCATGGAGTGAAGACTAACATCATCAGAAAGGAAAAGTAACCCACACTTAAGTGTTGAGAAACACTTACTGCAAGGATCTCGGAAAAGGGCAGCATCGTTTGCATGGCATAATCTGGGAATCTTCGTTGCTTGGACACGCATCGATCGAGAGACACAGCTTTCGACCAGCCAAGCACATTAGCTGGCTCCCCAGACGAAGGAGGGGTCACCTTTTTTAATCATTAACTTCATATATAGCCTAAGACTAGAGAAGAAATATATTTCATGTACGGTGTACGGGCAACGGCTCAGATCAACGGTTTAGGGCACTCAAGCGGTGCAGGCCACTAACATGAGCAAAAAAGCCTAGGGGTTTGAAGAAATGCTTGTCAGATTTGCCTTTTCCCCCAGAAAACCTATGGTCGATCTAATGTAGCAGTGTGGCACCACCAACCAAGGAACCCCCATGACTGGCTAGAAGAGCTCCAAGATTTCTACTTAATTTAACAGATTTTGCTACCATCCACTTGGATTCCGAAATCCCCAATTGTATCAGCTTTAAAACTATAGCTATATTTATGTGCTGATGGAAATTTTGTGTTCCAAAAGTTGACAGTTATACCTACTTCACACTGCGCATTGTTGGTTGTTGATCAGATCTTTTGGTGCTCAAAATTTGATGGGTGATGGTTACAGATCACCAATCTAGGGACTGAGTGGTCGAGAGCACATGCTTAGACCTGCTTTGGAAGGCTACCCACCGTAGTATCCACATCAAAATATTCAGTTCCAGCCATCCTGCAGCCCACGATGTTGCCCCTTGGATGCTGCAATGTTAACAAATCCAACTTGGCAGAGTATAGTAGTATACCAGGATCACAGAATAGTGCCACTACAGCATTTCACAAACAAAAAAAATGCGCATTGCAAGAGAGTAGTAATGAGTTTGAAACTTTCAAAGTAAGCTAAAAGGTACTCAATCACAGAAGAGCCTGTTGCCCTGGAAAGCGTGTCAATAAAAATGAACTTCTTTGAGTTAGTGAAGCGCTTTGCTATTTATTTATCCAGTCTGTCCATGCTGCAAACCCTATAAGAATTAGATGTCTCTTTGACAATTCCCAACAGCAGTATCTCAAGAAGTACTAAAGGGTAAAGCGTTCTTGAAAAGGCATCTCACTTGCTTGATACTCATTACCCAAAGCAGAGATAGGTTTAACTATTTCTACGTACAAAGCGAAGAGATATCGTACCAGGTACTTGTTCCATGCAGCAGTGGCGGCTATCTCTTTATTCCGAATGTCTCACTGCATGGTCAGCATGGAATCCTTCAGAACTCATCGGCTGACATAAACCAGTGAAATCGATAACACAACAGAACAATAATTAAATGCTTTGTTTTATTTAAAAATATATTTGCATTTACATATCTAAAACCACCGGCACCTAACATTATCAAACTATAGCAATCAGTATGCCACACTACACATTTATTTAACTACGTTACAATGAAACTTCAACAAACACATCAACAAATTGGTAACTGGGGTATGCCATGCTGACAAAATTTCGCTGTGGCAGAGCATAGACATAAGAGACTGGACTTCATTTTGGCGACCTTGCTTGGCGAATTCGCTTTTCATCAGACAGCAGCTTTGCAAATCTGGAAATAAGGTGCTAATTAGCTAATAAGTAGAGATGCATACTGCAATTATAATAACCTGATAGGTGGTGGCAAGCCAAAAAGCTCACCTCTTGAGAGCTTCCTCATTGGTCTCCTCTATGTCACTACAAGCAGGCACCATTTGGCCAGTCTCCAAATTTGCCCGTGAGACAGGTTTCTTTAGCAGCAACTCTCCAACATTGACAAGTTTCTCCAAGTTATCCTTGGTGGCAACATCAACTGAGGAGAGTGTCCCCCATAGGGTATCATCCTGTCATGTAGAAATGGTATTCTCTGAGTAAATGGAAGCTGATTAATTAGTTACTTTGTACTCCCTCCGTCCAGAAATACTTGTCGGGGAAATAGATAAAAATGAATGTATCTAGAACTAAAATATGTCTAGATACATCCATTTCTCCAAGAAGTATTTCCGGACGGAGGGAGTACAAAATAAGCTGCCTGCATTTTACTTACTTGAATTCTCAGATAGTTCTGCTCAGAATGTAAGGCTTTGAAAACAGAAGCGATGTGAATATCCACCATATCTGCACTTGCCCGTGTGAAAATATCTACTAATGGTGTAGATCCACTGCTACATAACCAATCCAACACTCCCCATGATTTAGCCTTTTGTGCATCGTACTTCTCTTCGAATTTTGATGAGCCTGTGCCAAGTGAAATGACCAAAAACCGGCCATAGTCCATAGGTTTTATTGGGAAGAAATCTGGATCTTGCTTGAATATCTGCTTGCTTACTTCTCCAATGGCAACTAAGGCCTAAACACAACAAAGACAGATATTAGGTCTATTTCAAAATTTCAAGATTTTCCTTCAGTCTCTGAATCAAGCACATGCTGCATGCTGTATGTTATGCAAAACTACAGGCAGCTATAGTACCGGATTATTGGCAGCTACTCCCCCATCAATAAGATTAAACTCCTTGATGTTTCCATGAGAATCTTCAGTCTTGAAGTAATGCGCAGGCAAATAAGTTGGAGCAGCGGACGTGCTGATGCAAATATCTGATAACAAAGCATTCATTGTGTTCTTCTTCTTCTTAACCTGTCACATGATAATAGAAAGTTCATTTTTGTGCAAAATCTCCATCATGGAGGATTAATGGAAGTTCTCGACCTCTCACTACTGCCTCATATATATGTTCTCCCTTTGAAGTAAATTTACAGAGAAAACAAAGAAATACACATTTTAGTAGCATGTGTTTCTTGTGCCATTAAAATGAATTGGTTCTCACTTACTATAACTAGCATCCAATACAAAGAAACATGTACCATATTTTACAGGTGCTCAAATTAGGACTCCTGAAAGATGAGAGAGAGGGAAAGAGGGAAACCTCATACGACGAAAAAATGGTTGGTTGTAGCCGCTTGATGTCGAAAGTTGGTATTACCACATTTGTTAACGTCTGATGCAGCCTGGCACTTCCTAACTTCTTTCTCACAACTTCATGAAGGTACTTACCATCATAATAAGGTCCTGACAATGAGCGAAGTATCCTCATTATCCTACCAAATGCACCCCTAAAAAACAGACAATATGTGTTACTGGACAAGTTCATAATCCAATCAACAAGAAGTCAAAAACCATAATATATCGTTCACCTGAGCTGTGGGAAAATTCTGGGAGCATGGTTCATATAAAATGCTTGAATATCCTTCGCCGCAAAAAGTGGTCTTCTCTTCTTATTTGGTGCAGTGAGCATCGCAGTCACAAGTCCCCCTGTGCTGGTCCCAGCAATGACATCAAAGTAGTCTGCTAACCGGGCTTCCTCTCCATCAAGTTTCTTTAGAAGTTAACATAACAGTTTCAGTGGGATGCAATCAAGAGCGTCAATTGAAAATTAATGCGCTTCTAAAGAAAGGAGCATATGCTGGGGCAGATGGAAACAAAATCATTGTTACACATCAAGTATATTCAGTCCACCAGTCCAGTTGAGATAAAAGAACCAGAAATACAGAACAAGCATTAGCAGAATATTGAACTGATGTAATACAAAATATAAATCCAATTTTCCAAGAATTTGAATCTTCTGCACGACTGCAACTGCTCAACATCTACATGTGCATAAATAACAATAAAAGAGTAGGGAGCAGACAACAACAAGACAGCACCCTAATTGCGACACTAATGCAAACTTTAAGATTTACTTGGCTTATGCAAGTAACTTTACAGTTGAAGTTAATAAGACATGGTTAGTGAATTAAGTTAAACCCTGAGAGTTTGAACTTTAAACAAACAAACAAAAAATAAATTGCAAGCTTATTTCATCTGATGCGACATATGGAACATGGAGTTCTAATCTATTATATTTCTCACCAGGTAAGTGTTGCCTTGTCAAATTGCCAATATCACAAGATATGAAAATCAATCGTGCTACATAACTACAGGTTTACCTGCAACTCTGATTCTAGAAAGGCAAGAGCAACAGCTGGAATGATTCCTCGAATCCCTCCGCCATCGATCGAGAGAATAGTGATGAGGTTGCCATAAGTTGGTGGTTGTCTGCACAAGATATGTTTTCCAGTCTCCATATCTCTGCTCTCTTCAAGGGTAGGTTGCACAGAATTGTAGTTCTCCGAGGACGGCAATTTTGAGTCCTCAAGTTAATGTAGAGCACACGTATTAATAGACTTTGGATGAGAACTTTCGTGGCAATGCAGGTAGTGTAGGTCTATAACATTCAGGAATAGTCATTACGAATAACTTAAACGTGCGATAATAAGATCTTAATAATCTTCATTCATGGGAAGATGTGTAGAATTAAAGTTGCAAAAGTGCACGCTTTATTTTCTGTTGAAAATATGAGGTTCGAATGCAAGAAGGACAAATGTCTCTTTCTCAGTTGCCCTTGGACTAGGGGCTATTCTAGTGCCCTGAAGGTGCTGCCAGGAAAAGAGAATTTCCATGACCCAAGTGTTGGCCCTGTTAGAAAGTTGACCTAAATTTGCATGGAGCTAATAAATCTTAGCTTTGTGCTCTGTCACAATATGGCCATACTTGCGATGCACGCAATCTAAATAATATGATGAACAATTTGTGTACTAGTACGAGTTGATTGACCTAAATGGGATGTCTTAGGCATGCCCTTTGAGGATGATATCGAGGAACCTGCACTGCTGAAGCATTTGAATTTTAGGCAGTATGCAGCAATGGGGAAAAAACATGGTGGCATTCAATTTGTGCCAGTTTTCTTTTAGCTGGACAGTTGTTGCATCACTGATTACGTATTCCCATCCATGTTGTACCCAAATGATATCCTAGTTAAGTACATAAGATTGTTGTCTAGATCCGACGAACTTATGTAAGTCTTCAATTATTATTTTTTATTTTTGAGAAATGGTGTAACGTTCAGCTTTGGCTAGGTAAAAGGAAAGGTGATGTAGCCCGTCAAGTAAGATATCATGTGATAATACTAAAATATCATATTGTGAAAAACAATTAGATTTAAGATCCCGTGAACAAATAAATATTAGAATATTCGTTTGATTCCCAGAGGAAGAAAACGTAGGAATGGTAACGATGGAAAATATTTATCACAAATCCAGAGTAGTTAAAGATACATGCACTGTTATTCTTTCTCTTGCAGAAAAAAAAATCAAAACAACAAATTATCTACCAAATTCAAATAAACCTAACTTACTTCGCTTCATCACCGAATAACCTAGTTTCCAGTCACGCTTTCTCTGATTCATACATGGAAGATGGAGAACAAAAGTTAAAACAATTCATTATGCAAACTTATATGGGCGCAACCATGCAACTGCAATCAGATAAAACAATGTGAAGTTACTGCATAGCTTTTCCTACATGCGAGATGAAGACTAAATATTAAAACAACTGATACTGCAAGCTTATATGGATGAAACTGTAGTCAGATAGAGCCATGGAAACTAACTGCATAAATCAAGATAAACAGTTATAATACATGGCATGCCAGTAATAGTTAACGTGAATATCCTTAGCATTGTTGTGGGTTCTCTGGAAGATGAGAAATGATTTACATATTCAGATAATCAAGTGGTCTGTCATGCAGGTACCATGGCAGAAACTCTTCAGCATGCTCAGAAGCTGGAAATGAGTATGCGTGGCCTCCAAGATGCCACTGATGATTCATTTTCTTTCTTTGGGCCTGAAGATGTTGGAGATGTCGAGAAGTACCAATCAAGAGAAAGACATCACATGGATTGTTCAGAACACTGGAAGAGTGGAGGCTCCCAGAAAATATTGATGATATCACCAATCTTGCTGAGTTTGGATCATGCGCTGTACTGAAAACTGAGCTGTAGAACTAGTTCCAGCCAGTTGCTACTAGCAGTACATTTTTTCATTACCAATGCCATTAAGGATTACCAAATCTTGCTTTTGTAGCCAGAGACCCTTGTACATATTGTAACTCTTCTTTTAATATAAGTATCTGAGGCTTTTGCCTATTTGTTCAAAATAAATAAATAAATAATGGCACTTCAAAGCCACATAAGGAGAAGTCATCATGTCAGTAGTAAGTAGTTAGTTCTGTAATGAGGCAAGTGATTACTTCGAAGTAGGTTGATATGTGTGCCTAGAAAATTATGCATCCTTACAATCAGCAGTAAGTAGTTAGTTTTGTAAGTTAGCCAAATGATTGCTTCAAAGTAAGGCCAATATATGTATCCCAAGAAAATTATACATCCTCACATAACTCACAAGAAGGTATGCATCAGTTACCTGGCATGCTAGTGCTGACTACATTTCAGTTCAGTCTGTTGTCTGGCTGCTGGCACCATTGACACTGAAGACCCCTCTTGTCATGCAGGTTCTTTTCATAAAAACCTTGCTTGACTCGTGAAACACAACATATTAATGCAATATCAATATGTGCAACCCTGCAAAAATAAACTAAGTCGCTGCTATATTAATCTTCAATTTCTTTCAATGTACTGGTTATGCAATACAGTAAAATATTTCCTGCATACCGCAAATAGCTTACTAAAGCAGTATTACCTTTGCAGTTGGCAGAGGAAACTGCATTTGGTCAATGACTTGGCAACAATGCAAGAAGTAAAGGAATCACTGTGCAACACCCCGGTGCGGCAGGACATGGAAGGAAAAGATTATCCAGGACAGTATCCATGGCTTGGACGTTATCCATGCCTTGAACAAGGATATTTGTAGCCATTTGCTGGGGATCTCTTGCGAGCACCATCGAGCATGAAGGTATTCGAGAAGTGCTGCAGTATGCCTTACATCTGTTGGCTCAATGATTGGTGGCTCATCATAGTGGTCATGGCCTGCTTGACCAGCACCACTGTATCAGCAACATTTTCACAACTGCTCGATAGGATTGCAGTATTAAGAGAAGGCTTACTAAGAGTATATTGCTCAGTACCTCTCTTAGTCTGCCATGTCATGTAATGAAATAACATCAGAAGGAATGTCCAGCAGAGAAAGCTTAATGATTGTCTTTTGATTAAAGCCTGAATTGCTAGCCGAAATGGAAATACATATATTATGCAGCATCCCAATCAGACATTTTTAACCATAAATATAAGTAGGAAAAGGCTCCAAGATGATGATTCAGGCTCGAAGTAGTATTTCCCTTTTTATTCTTGAGAATGCAAGCTCTACTGCAATTTGAGAACTTATAATCATATCTTAGCATCCTAAACCCTTTCAAAATACAAATTTGTAATTGAACAGAATGGCAGACTAGCTGGTTTGAATTTGAACTCCATATGATAGTGGTAACAATATACTTCTTATAGACTGAACATAAAACTACTCAAGAACAGCTACAAACATGTCTTAAGCAAAACTCAAACTTCCTAGTGTACAACAATAGCCAATAAGAACATTGCCTTGGTCATGTGAATGAGCGGAGAACAGGAGATCTCATCGGCGGCCCAGAAATTTTGCGACCACGCGGACCTGTGTTTCAGCCTGGACGCATGTCGGCCGGAAGAGATGGAAGCCGTGACCCTGCCCATCCGCCTCCCAGATTTCCACCTCGCCTTGCCACCCACTCCCAATCAATTTCTCACGGTACAGCCTTCCCCTTCCCCTCATGGCGTCATTGCCCCCAACGCATACCAGAGCGCGCTTGCACCCCAGCCCGGCCAGGCTGGGCGCTCCCTCCGCCATCGGGTTGATCCACGGGTCGTCACACCCGCTGGTCCCAGGGCATACCACCGGCCAAAGCCGCACCAGCTCGTCGAGCAACGCCATGCCCATCTCGTCCGACTCGGAGCTGTCGCCCCCTAAGAAGTAGGGATGGATCAGCACGAGGGAGCTCACCTTCACGCCGTGGCCTAGCTCCTCGGCACCAGCACGCATTGCGACGTGGTGCGCGATGTTGGCGCCGGCGCTCTCGCCGCCCACGTGGACGCGCCCGAAGTCCGCGTGATTGGTCAGCCAGGGCTCCGCGCCCTGGCCGCCCGCGTGCGCGGCCACCCACTGGAGCGCCGCCCAGGCGTCCCCGTAGAGCGCGGGGACGGGTGCTCGGGCGCGAGGCGGTACTCCACCGACACGACGATCGCGCCGGCCCGCGCGGCGAGCTGGTTGGCGTGGCCGTGCGCGGCGGCGTCGAACGCCGAACCGAGGCAGAAGGCGCCGCCATGGAAGAATACGAGGACGGGGAGCTTGCCCTGTTGGCCGCCGGCGGGGGCAGGCGGGAGGTAGATTCTCGCCGACACGCCGGCTCCCGGGAGGATGGTGAGGTCCTTCGAGGAGACGCCGGTGGCGGCGTCGGTGCAGGGCGGGGCGAAGTCGATCCGGAGGAAGCGCTCGACGCGTCCGCTCTTGTAGACGCGAATGAAGCCGGGGGCGTCGTGGATGACCTCGTCGCCGCCGGCGCCCGTGTCGGACATGGCGCGGGGAGATCAGGGGGAGGGAGTGAAGGAGTTCGGATGTCCACGGAGTAGAGGAGAGATCTTGTGTCTGCCTTGGATCTGGAAAGAACTACTCTATTATCTGACCGTGGGGACGATGAGCTGGTGACCCAGCGCGGCGGCGGTTGCCGCAGCCGCGGCGGCGCCCGCGCATCAGTGAGCCTGCGAGGGATGCAAATCATAATATAGAAGAATTGGATGGTTCCAATGGAAAATACAATAGCTTTTACTTCCAGAGAAAAATTGTAAAAACACCGCCTACAACATCAAATGTACTCTAAGTAGTGATATAAACGCTCTTATATTTTTTAATGGATGGAGTAAAACACAAAAAGCACAGGATTTCAAATGTCACGTAACTATGCATTCTTGCAGAATCACATAATTTTTCAAGATGAAGAATTTATTTGGACCATATAAACATATAAACATTTTCTCAATAGATAACAAGATGCACACGAGGTGTTCTAAACCTTTCACATGGTTCAACAATCAACGTATCTACACTTGTTGGGCGGTAATGGTGCATGGTAGCAATGTCTATAGGGACCTACAAACAAATCATTTTTGTAATTGGCTACTTCAACTGTGTGCAAGATGATACATTTGGCATTTGGTTATACCACTTTGCGCCAAAGTGAAGTTTCTGAATGGGGAATATTGTTCCT